ATCTTCGTATCAACTGATACAAACCAAGTCGCGAGTCATGGTATAATCCTGACCATTCTTGGTACTGTATTGGTTATGCAAAAAATAAAGGTGAGTAGAAGAACCTCGACCATTCTTTTCAATGAAAAAAAATCCAATAAGGGCAAGAGAATTACTTATCTGGATTCAGAGATCAATACCAGATAAATTTCCCTTCTTGTTAAAAGATAAGAATAGGAATACTAATGTTGTACCTCTTAATCAATTCTTAAGTCACAATAGAATTATCTCATATATGTTAAGAAAAATAGGTGCTGATCATACTTCTAGAGTACATAGAAATAAGAATGATACTGGCCATCAATATTTACGGCAATTGGCATGTAGGTATAAGATAGACCATGCTTCATCAGTTGAATATTATAGTGTGATAAATGACAGACCAATTGCTCTAATGACTAGAGAAAAAAATACTAAGATATCAGATATTATAGATTTATACAATTACTAATCACGCTTCTTTGCTTCAAAAACTTGTGTATGTATTTTATTTTCATCGATGCTAGAATATCTGAAAATGCACATCGTGGATTACAAATAATTTTATTTAGTAGTGGAGAATGGGTAATTATTTACTGAGTTATTTTTTTAGTTATAATATATAGCATTAAATAATATCGCAGGAAGCGTGTTATTCTGGCTATAGAATAGAGTGGGTAATCGGGTATTTGGCAGCCTCCAGCTAATTTCAAACAAAGAATTTTTATTTGCTGTGATGTATATATATCTGTGACAATTTTCCTTGTTTTACTTTTGGTTCTAGATATAGGCACTGATTGTTGCTAGCCGATTTTTGACAAAAATCTCATTCAATTGTTGAAGAGAGACATTCAGAAATAATGGTAGTCCCTCACCAGTAAACCAAATTTTCTTTACCCTACTATCGATGAATTTCTGTATTAACATACTTGGAACATCTTCTAAGGGACCATGAAATTCTTCAAACTTTCGGAGGTACACTCTTGCATTTTTATCGGCTTCTTCTGCCATTTCTTGATTAGTATAACCGACAATATCAAGTTCTTCCTGAATTGTCGCTATATCGTCTTCTAAGCATAAAAGCAAATCAAATAATCTAATTGGTTTATCTGAA